TGTACCTCTGGTGCAAATTACTGACCTCTGTCATCATTTTAAGTGGGGGAACTTGCACAATCGGTGGCTGACTAAATACTTTTTTGCCCCACTGTATGATTGACTCCGAGCCAGAGCCCACTGAAAGCAAAAGGTCGAAAGGTTATACATTTGGAAGAGAGTGGCTTGACCAGTTTCACTGGCTAAGATACAGTAAAGCTGACAACATGATGCACTGTATTTACTGTCATGATGTGGAAAGACCCTGGCCGGCAATACTGCATTTGTGACTGGTGCTAATACTTTTCGAATTGAAACACTGAAAAAGTACAGTGTAACCAGAAAATACATTATGCTGTGATAAATGCACTGCCCAAGTGTCCCCTCTCCCCACTGCTGTTCAGTGGTAGGCAGCAGTAAACAGGCTGTCAGAGGAGGCCGAGATGATGATTAGGTTTAACATTGCCTACAATATTGCCAAAGAGTACCAAAGCACTTTAAGCACAAGCACTTTTCAGTAACTTATCTTTCTTGTAGAATGGTGCTCCAAATCAATACTGTCTGTATGGACAGCAATTCCCCCCACTCCCAAAAAGTGCACATGTAAAACTGCGGTGTTAAACGATGTTAAACTTTTGCGCTGGTGCACCTAAGAAAACAACGTTAGGCGCACCAGTGCAACCGTGGCAAATAGTTAGTCTAGAGCCTTCCCTCTAAGTCTAGTATGTAGGGGAAGGAGCTGGAGCCTATCCCAGCTGTCTTGGGTTTAAGTGGGTTACACCCTGGACTACCCTGTAGGTATTTAAAATCACAATACTGTTGTGTTGGTCTTCATAAAAATGTTTTCAGAATTCTCAGAACCTTTCTTAGGCTTGCCTTATGAGTTAATAGTTCGTAGTTGTACATCCTTAGATCTTTCGACAGTCCTGTCTTGCTTTTTTGCTAATATTTAAAACAAACAAAAAAAAACTTTGGTTTTTCATTTTAAAATTGGGGACCTTGGCTATTTTTGACAAAGATCTGTCAACGAACGTGTTTATTCCTGGGATGCTCCTGGCAAAAGCTTGCCATCTAGTGGGTCAACAGCAGAAGATCCCAGAAGTTCATATTAAGGCAGTTTTTGCTCCTAGCACTCAGCAGGGAGGTCCGGTGTTTCGTGCTTCTGATGGTTCCTGCTTCTGTTTCACTTGAGATGGCATAATCTGGCGGAATGATTGATTGTACAGCTTATTAGTACCTTGTCCAGTGAAGTGATGACCTTCTTTTGTGTTTATGGAGTTTGTTACATTTACTGGTGTAAGTTAGCTGTTCATGCTTTGTTTTGCCTGTTAGCATGGAAAAAACATGCCATACGGCATATGGGATTTGCTACACTACTTGCCATGCTTTTTTATTCTTATGTTGTGACCTCGTATTGTTTTTTTTTTTTACATATGGTAGCAGTATTGAATGTAGCATTTATGTATTTTTTATGTACACTAAATGGACCTTACTCTTGGTCTCCTGAGTGGTCACTGAAGCCATTTATGTTTAGCTTGGTGCACAAGCCGAATAGAAGCATTCAGCTGAGGGAAGAAGAGTAAAAAGATTGTCCTCACATCAAGCGGATTGCCAAGATCCATAGACACTCCCCTCCAGCAACAGCAGACATGTCTAACCAAGGAGACACCTTGTGGTTTTCCCAACTGGAAGTTAGGGCAGAGTGCAGATCATGCCGGTCAGGTGGCTCAGCAGCGAGCCTAAGTGGAGCACAAGCACGAGCCAATGGTGAAGCTGCTTGAGCCAGAGGAGAATGCGCTAAAAACCAAATAGACAAGGAGGCCGAAAAGGCCCGAATGGAGGCAGCAAAGCAGCGCTCTCAGCAGGAAGGGTGCTAGAGGATGCGGTTCAGGACTAAGTGGAGTCTGTGAAGCCCGCCAGACTTTCCTGCCATTATAGCCATGGGCATCGGTCGCATGCGTATGTAGATACCCACTTCTACAACGACACTAATACGGAAGACGGACAACGCAAGGCCAGACATATCAACAGCGGCTGCATATTCACATGAGTACCCCGCTAGCTCTCCGCTTGTGTGGCAGCCCAAATTTCCAGCTCCCCATTGGCCCAACCACGTTGAAGCGGCCACACTACAGCGACAAGGGGAGGTATCAGACCTCTCTGCCCTCCTCTCACGTCATGGCCTACTGATACCAGGACTGACAGTGTTTGATAATTAGCCTGAGACTCATATATCATGGAGATCTATGTTCCACAGTGCCACTGAAGATTTAAATCTAAAATGCAGTGAAGAGCTTGAATTACTCACAAAGTGGCTTGGCGGTGAGTCTCTCCAGCCTTCTCTGAGAATTAGGGCTGTTCATAATAATCTAGAAGCGGGTCTTCAGCGTTTATGGCAAAGG